GAGGTCTTGTGAGCTATCAAATCAAAGTAGGGACACTGAGGATGCAGCCTGTCCCAGCTCTGCTCTGTCCCTAGCAAGCCCTAGCCTCATGTCTTGGTACATGTCCCTATGTGTGTGCCCACATGTGAACACAGGAAGCCCTGCTTTGCTAATGGTGCTCTGGTCAGTCATGTATCAAGGTGACCAAGGGCTGGAGGGGCTGCTGGTTTGAGTTCAATCTTTCCCACAACTCAGTCTGCTTCCCAGACTGGTCACGGCCCGCATCTAATGACTTGCTGCAGAGGGGTTTTCAACTCTTGCGGTGTCAATGCTGGTCTTCAAGCAGCCTGCCAGTCGTCCAGTGGATCATAAGGGCAAGGTTTTGTACAAGTCCTGTTCATAGACACAGCTGAGTGCTGAGTGCGGGGAGTGTCAAGAACACAGTTCCCTGAGACCCAAGACAGCCCAAGTTTGGTGATGAGTACCTGGCTGATGAACAGCACTTACTTCACCTTAACCCCTGTACATGGCAAGCTTGAAGGGATGACAGGGGAGGGATATGGGTGACGGGGACCAAACACCCTACCCTAATGTGACTCTCTGGCTAGCCTGGGGAGAAACTCCCCCAACTTCAGTAGAGCAGGAAATGGGGGACACAAAATCAGAGCCGGAGTCAAAGAATCTGTGGGTTCCTCCTTGTCCAACCTCAGCTCTGGTCTGATGGCTTAAAGCTTCAAGGCCTGAACTCTGGAGGGAGGGAATGGAGGACCCCTCTTATGATGATGTCTGACATGCTGAAGTACCCAGGCTTACACACAGCTGGACCATAAAACATAAAAATCTACAGAAAACCCCCAGAATCGCTAGCCATTCCCCACTCAGCCCACAGTCTGCTGCAAAGCAACACAAGCTTTTGGCACCTGGAGCTCTGTTTCATATTATCTTAGGGATATAGGATTTCTCTGATGTTTTCACATGCCCCAGGCCTCATCCCTACTGAGGATTAGCTCTCTTTGGGACATACAGGAAGCACTATTTTCTCTCAGTGGATTAGCTACTGGATTAAGGCATTTTGACTAATTTACCTTCTCATGGCTTTATGGCAATGCCTCTCAAACAATGTCTCCTTCAGAGGAGACACTCTACAGGGCCCACCCTGCATCTGTAAAGCCAGATGCTCCTGGGTCCTAAGGAGTACTGTTTACACTACAGAGGATACCAAGTCACAGTCTTGCCAACTTGGGTTTAGGCACCTCTCTTTGTCAGCCATGTGTGGCCCACCTGGGAAGTCAGGAGTCTGACAGAACCCAAGATACAGTACAGGACACCAGGCAAGTTTGTCCAGTGGTTCTGCTACACTGATTCTATATGAAGTCCAACAGAGCTAAGTAGGGGCATGAACCTTGAACACCTCTTGCAGCCCCAAACCTCAGAGACTGCTCTGTAGCTGGGAGGATTGAAAAATCCCAGTGTAGCCTGGCAAGCTGGCTGCAGCCCCTGCCCAACAGGACAACTGCGGGGACAGAGGAGTGCATGTGTCATCAGAGTGGTTTTCATAAGTTTTCCCTGCCCTGTCAGGTATCCACTGATCCACCAGGAAAATCTGCTTCGTTGCCCTGAGTTTTCTAGAGGCACCAGCTAGAGTGACTCTAGATCAGTCCAGCCCAGAACGAGGCAAAGAACTGCTCTTTCCAAGTGTCAAGATAGGTAAAGCTTGATACGTCTTTCTCCTCTTGCTCCATCCCCCAAGGTATAAAGAGGGTTTGTGCTTACAGTAAAGGCTCAGATCAAAGTGAGTGGATGGAAAGAGCAGGCCCTACACAGCTTTCCCTGGCTTTGTTGTAGTGGAACTTTAGCAGAGAGAGCACCCGGCAGCCCCAGGATCAGCTGAGGCTTGATTAATCTCAGAGCACCACAAGCCTGTCTGCAGCTGCCTGCCATAAAGCTCACACAGCCCCTTCCCCTTCTTGTGTTTTGTGCTTGAACCTTCCTTTAGAAGGCTCCAGATGAACAAGAATAAATTACCGGAGTCCCCTAGCCCACCTCTAAGCACATCCTACACCAGCCTGAATGAGGGGTTCATACATGTGTGTCATATGTCCCAGCCCCCCACTCCTGCTCCTCATGTTCCAACCCTCCCCACTCCTCTAGGCCTGCACGGAGCCTCAGAAGAAATCTCGTATGACCGACCGTGAACATTCCCAGGCTCCAGAGGTAACCACAGCCATGCCCAGCCCATTTCAATCTGCAGCTTCTGTGTGTGTGTGTGTGTGTGTGTGTGTGTGTGTATGTTTACTTTTTGCCACAACCGCAGACAGGATAGAAGATGGAAAGCAAGAGAAGTCTGCCAGATCCCCAAGGAAGCTGCCATTTAGCCCCTCATGCAGTAACAAACATGAGCTAGTTTTGGAGTAGTTTGTAAGCTGCGTGCCATGAGGGGAGGCTGCATGTTGTCCTGACTCGGTACTTTAGGAGGGAACAGCCTCCCCCATCCTTCCCTATTGTAAAGCCACAGGAACCTGTGGACTGAATGCCAAAGTCAGCAACAGGGCTGGAGAGGAGGAGCTGGGGAACCAGACAGATGCTCTTATTCTTCCCCGGTGCCTCTGCAACTAGCTAAAGGCAGGCATCAGGCCTGTCCCTACCACAGATTACACAATGTCTTCAGTCCCTCGTCTCCCAGGAAGTAGCCTCTTAACAGAGAGACAAACAAGCCTCTTGTCTGCAAACCCCCAAGTGGCAGGGGCTCAGGCTGTTCTGAACTTGACTGTGGCTGAAAGGGTAGCCCATGAATGGCTATACAGAGAGAAGGAAGACAAATTTGCTCTGGACCAAGTCTGTGTGGTAGTTATGTGCTTGTTAGCAAACGCTGATGTGCAGAGGATGGTTTTGGTGGAAACAAACAAGTACCCACTTGTAAGCAGGGATTGCAGAAGGCACACAAGGGGACTTGCTTTGTACCTTCCTGACAAACTGAGTTTGGGATCCCATGGGAGGACCGACCCTAGAGAAAATGGTATAACTACTAAAAATCCAGACTCTTTTCCTTCAGACAGTGGCTTCCCTGCCTGGCAAAGGACACTGAAAGCCCCACAGAGTAGCCAGGCAGCTTGGCCCACAGCACAGAGACATGGCCTAGTAATCCCACCTTTCCCGCTAATGTGGACTAGACACTTTATCCCAGTAGTCCTTTAAGCAGGGAACTGCAAGGACTTAGCAGGGCAGGATTAGTTAAAGGTATCCAAAGGAATCAAATAAAAACCCTTGGCCTTGCTGGGTGATACTAGTAGAGCTCAGGGACCTGAACATTTGGCACATTCAATTGCCAAGGAGCCCAATGCAGCAGCGCTTGTAGGCCTTGGTTCTTCTTTCTTAAATTTCAAGTCTTAGATTAGAGCCTAGTAGTTTCTGAGCCATAGGAACCTGATTGTGACATCACAGCATGGCTGGCTAGCCTGAAGCACTGCACACTAGGGGAAAAAAAAGCTGGAACAAGAATTTGCAAGAATTTCATGGCTTGGTATTTTTAAAAAGCAGGAAGATGTGAAACTGAAATCAAAAATAACTCTGCTGTTGGCTTCTGAAACAAAACTTGGCCACTGGCTAAGTCTGTGCTAGGCTGCTCACAGCCGCCTCCCAGGCTCCTGGTCACTATCCACATCTCCATGCTCTATCCAATCTCCTGCATGAGACCCAGGGCCTCAAATGCTTGAGAGGACAGTTAGGATTCTGAGTCCACAGAAGAACACAGGGAGCCACTGGAGCAGTAAGCTTGCTAGTTAAGCTTTCCCGCATCTCCACAGGGAAGAAGAGGAAAGAGCATGCAGGTCAGAGCCTGTGCTGGTGTTCCTCAGGATCTCACATCAAGCAAGCAGGTCTGGCAGCCCAGTGGTCTGGCCTGAGTCCTTCAGATCTTGATACAAGGGCTACAAAACTAGCATGGTGGCAGAGCAGATTTTGAAAGGCCTCATGGGAAGACACGGCTCTACCAGAGATGCTGATGTCTGCTGACCGTCTCGCAAGACTGAATGGCAGATGTTATGTAGCAGCAAGGTGGTTATGTTCATGTTTGTGAATGGCAACATGGGAAAGTGGGGTGGCCAGTGGTGCGGAAACAGCAGGAATGGACACCCCACAGGCCTCTGATTGCTGAACCAGAAGCTTCACCCTAGAGAAAGTCTTAAGCAAAGCCCAACAATAGCAGCCAGGCCCTTTTGCCCTTCTCCTGGCTTTTCTGAAGACCCTACAGACTTCTGGTGGAGCCAGCTTTGTCAGCAAAAAGACTCAGGCAGGCTCAGCAAGAGAGTGATGTGAGCAGCCATAGAACAGGCATGTATGTATTGGGTGTGGAGGTAATAAGGTTGAAGATGAACTCATAGCAAAATCTCCAAAGGAGAGACAGAGGGGGCAGAGGCAGGCAGATCTCTATGAGCTGAATTCCAGGTCAGCCAAGGCATTTCAGGGCTAGAGAGATGGCTCAGTCATTAAGTGTTGAGCTGCTCTCCCAGAGGACCTCAGTTTGGTTCCCAGCACCCACAAGGCAGCTCGCAACTATCTATAACACTAGTTCCAGAGATCTGATACCTTCGTAGGGTCTACATGGGCACCAGACATACATGTGACACACAGACATACATTCAGACAAAACACCCATACACATAAAATAAAAATAAATAAATCTTACGAAAAAAGAAATACCTACATTTTCTCCAAGCCAGCTGCTGTTGGTGTCTATGACGAAGCCAGTAAGTTGCTGGATGGGCCCACATGGCACTTTTCACAGCAGCCTCCCAGGCTACATGGTAACTCAATTCAAAGAATGGCTATCACAAGAAGCAGACATCTTTGAAGAGCTTCAGCCTGGTGCGGGAGAATTATCTGTATTCTGTCAATCATATTTTAATAAAACGCTGATTGGCCAGGCAGGCAGTATAGGCGGGAAAGCCAGACAGGAAGTAGGGGTGGAGCAAAGAGACTGGGAGTATTCTGGAAGCAGAAGCTCTCTCTCAGCCACTCCTGCACAGACCACCGAAGAGGCAACATGTAAGCTGTCACACTGAGAAAGGTACTGAGCCCATGTGGCTAAAATAGATAAGGATAATGGGGTAATATATGTTATAAGAGCTAATAAGTAGCCTGACCAAATGGGCCAATCAGTTTATAACCTTATGGAGTCCTGTGTGTAATTTCTCTTTGGGATTTGCCGGCTGTTGGGGTACCGGGCGGGACGGAAACCCCAACAAGCCGGCCCTCATATTACATTCAGCCTTGGCCCTGAAGGCCATAGTCCAGGTTCTAAGACCTATCCCTAAATTTCAACAGCCTCACCCCAACTTCTTGTGCTTCCTCCACAACCTAGACATGATGTGGGAGGTGATGTATGCTGTGAATGCTTTATTGCTTTGGTTAATGAAGAAGCTGCTTTTGGCCAATGGCTCAACAGAGTAAAGCTTGGCTGGAAGAGATATACAGAGAGAGTAGGCGGAGTCTAGTGAACACTATGTAGTCACTGGAGCAGACGCGCTGGAGCAGACACACTGGAACCTTGCCAGTAAGCCACAGTCACATGGCAATTCACAGATTAATAGAAATGGGTTAACCAAAGATACAAGAGCTAGCTAGCAATACACTTAAGTCATTGGCCAAGCAGTGTTGTAATTAATACAGTTTCTGTGTGAATATTTCGGGTCAGGGCAGCTGGGATCGAACAAACAGCCTCCGACTACATAGACAGACACTGGCATTTCCCTGGCAGCTCACAGGATTCCTGGACTTGAGTGTCCACTTCTGCTGCTCCCATGCTATAGGCTATCTCAGGGCTTCCTCACAGTGCCTCAGACAACATTGGAATAACTGCTGATCTTTACCAAACAACTTCCCCAGTCCAGCTTACCAGTTAACCAAGGGCCACAGCAGGTTTGGCTATCCCCATTTATAAGAAAGGAAACTGAGGCCATGGGAATGATAACAAATGTCCAAGATACCCAGAATGCCTCCAAATCCAGGAGAGGGAAGGTACCGAGGCATCTGATAGGCAAGTGGTTCATTCAGTGAGAATATCCCTGAATCCCAAGAGGGAGCTATTCTTCTCCATACTTGATGGACAAGGCAGTTGAAGAATCCTGGCTACTCTGAGTATAGATGGCATCCAGTTGGGATCAGATCCTCCATGAGCTAAGCAGAGGAACAAGTGAAGCCCCAAGTAACAGCCTCAGAGGGGTGGAGCACATGTCAGAGTAAGAGAAAGTGGCGGCTGTTTTCTGCAGGTGGCCTCAGGGGCTAGCCTTTGGACTCTAAGAACTGCAGCTTTTTCCTTCAGGAAGGTCAAGTTTGTTCAAAAGGGAAAGTTTGTGGTGGGTAGTAGTAGGAATGGAAATCGGGGTATTGTGATTCTGGACAAATGTGACCACCGAGCTGGGTGCCCAGTGTTTTTGATTTACGCTCTCCTAACTGCTGAGCTATCTCTCCAGTCCTGAACTACAACTTTTTCTTCCTCCTCCTCCACTATTTACCACTGAGGAAAGGGGCACAAAGTCCACAGCGCGTGTGTGGAGGTCGGAGGACTCCAAGGAGCCAGTTTTCTCCTCTCACCTTTATGTGGTTCCAGGTGTGCACAGCAAGTGCAGGAAACTTCTTGATGAAGACATCCCAAAATTCCACCCAAACTGTTTAGCGAGAGATGCAGAGGATGCTCTGCCTACGCTATGATCAGGACCACCTGCTTCTTGCCAAAGTCACAGGCTGGCTGGACCCCAGGGTGGATCCAGGTACAACAAGTCATGATGAAGGCCTTATCAACACCTGACAAGATGCTAACTGCTGGGAAACCCCAAGGCGAGATCAAGTGAGGGCTGCAAAGGACAGCCCCAGAAGAGCTGAGGCCTCAGCTAAGCATCAGAAGGATGCTCTCAGGGACTTGCCATCTAAAAAGATTGGAGGAGACCTGAAAGGTTAGGCCAACCTGAAGTCGGCCTATTGGGAGTACAGACAGCAGGAGTCAGACCAAAGGGTCCATACTTGCAAGGTCATTTCAAAGTTATGTTCCTCTCATAAATGCCACCCCCTTTTGAGACAGGGTTTCTCTGTGTAGCTCTGGTTGTCCTGGAACTTGCTCTGTAGAACAGGCTGGCCTTGAACTCAGAGATCCACCTGGTTCTGCTTCCTGAGTGCTGGGATTAAAGGTATGTGCCACCACCATACCTAGGTCATAAATGCACTTTTGAAAAGTAATGAGTGCACTTTATAAAAATGGGATTCTCTAAAAGGTAAAACCAGCACAACCCCAATGCATGTGTGTGTATGTGTGTGTGTGTGCACGCGCGCATGTGCATGTGTTAAAGAACTGATTTCTGAGCTGAGTGGTGGTGGTGCATGCCTTTAATCCCAGCGCTTAGGAGGCAGAGGCAGGTGAATCTCTGTAAATTCGAGGCCAGGCTGGTCTACAAGAGCTAGTTTCAGGACAGGCTCTAAAGCTACAGAGAAACCCTGTCTCAAACCTCTCCCCCCACCACCACAAAAGAACTGATTTCTGATGCTGCACAAACCCCAAGGCCAGTTGGAATTCTGACAGACCTGCAAGATCTCTTGGCTTGGGGTTGGGGGAATTTGCTTGCTAGGGAGGCTAGATGCCTCACTGTTTTGCTGATCTCACCACCAGCTTCCTTGACCTGCCCTGAAATCTAGCTCCAAGATTTTATGAAGTTGCTTCCCAGGAGCAAGCCTGTGACAGCTCTGCCTCTTGCTAAGTCCTGACCTCTCTTGTGTCCTTCCTATCTCACCCTGCATCCCTCCGGCTTCTGCTGCATCAGGCTCCAGCTTGGCTTTGTTCAGTATCTAATCACGCCTGGGCTTCTTAGGCATCCGTTGCTCCTAGCTTTCTCAATGGCTCCAGCTGCCCGCTCCCTCTTAAAGCCTCGCTCTGGCATCAAATTCAGTCAAGGAGACTTCTCAGGAATGGGACTGGGTTTCACACAGGAGCAAACAGAGAATGGGCTCAGTGAATGTGTGTGCATGGAGAGAACCACCACTTCTACTGTAAGGGCTAAGAAATGGCTCTCTTAGGCAGGGGGAAGGTCTAACTTCTGGAGGCAGTAGAAGATTGGGAAGATGGCCTTGTGGTACTGTCATATAGAAGGCTCTGTCCCTAGCAAGCCAAGCAGTGGCAGCACCAGGAGTAGCTGCTTAACACGACAGGAATACACAGCATTGCTGGCCACTGCTTGATGAGCTCCACAGGTGGACACATTTTATATTCCTAGAGGCCTGGAGAGTGGGTGCTGGTAACAGCATTGCATTCCAGGCTTGCAGATTAAGGCACAGGAGGCTTAGGTTCTCCTGAATCACCAGGTAAGGCTGCAGTGAAGCCAGACACACACTGAGCCCCAAGGGGGACTGCTTAGTTCCAAGACTTTTCTTTCTAAAAGAAATAATGGGGGAGGGTGTCTCCCTAGAGAGGGCTCAGATTTTTTTCATCTGTCCCTCAGACTGGTGGCAAACAGACTACAAGCATCCTCAGAAGTGGTCTTGCCCCATTGAGCTGTATACCCACACGCCCAGACTGTTGAACAAGAAGGCAGGCTTTTATTTATTCATAATTCTCTGTTATTTTGAGAAACCTGTTGGCTTATGCTGTAGACCAGGCTGGCCTTACACTATCAGTCCTTTTGGCTTAGCATTCCAAGTGCAAGGATTGCCAGTGTGAATTAAGAATTTAGCTTTAAGAACTAGGGTCCTACCTGGGCAGGTGGTGGGGCACATGCCTTTAATCCCAGCACTTGAGAAGCAGGGGCAGGTGGATCTCTGTGAGTATGAGGCCAGCATGGCCTACAGCATAAGTTCTAGGATAGCTAAGGCCATACAGAGAAACCCTGTCTCGAAAAACCAAAACCAAAACCAACCAACCAACCAAACAAAAAAACTAGTCTTTTTTTTAAGATGTCACTGGAGAACCTGTGTGACTCACTCAGGAATCATCCCTGTCCACCACAATATCATGGCTCTCTCAGAAAGGATGTTCTGTAGGACAGAAATGTAAGGGACCCATCTCCTTCTAGGAGACCACGCAGAAGTAGACTTCCTTGAAGAGAAGAAAAAGGCCAGTAAAGTTCAGATCGCACAACACACGATTCATACAGACATCACTGAAGCAGGAGTCTGTGCTGAGGTGGCCAGAGCACAGACGGCTTTAGGACTAAGCACATAGTGAGGAATAGCTGCTGAGGGGGTAGATCCCAAGCCAGACCTCACAGACTAAACAGGCAACCTGGTTGAATGAGCCACCTGAAAGGAAGGTGTCAGTGGCTATCTGGTTTTAGGGCTCAGGAGAGGGCTGGTTTAGTTTGGACTAGATCTAAAAAATAGTTGATGACCAAGCCTCCAAAGAGCACTTGGAGTACCTAATGTACCTTGTACAAAAGTGGGCTGGGCCTATGGCCTTGTGTGGCTCCAAGGAACCCAACCTTCCTCAGGACACAGTGGGTCTAAAGGGGACACTTTTCACTTCGTGGCACCAAAGAACTGAGGATAAGACCACTGTGGATTTGCAAAGAGACCAAACACTGTCAGGTATGACAAGGTTGTCACGGGGTTGTCCAGATACCAAGCTGCAGGCTACCTCTGCCCTCTACGAGTGCCTTACAAAGCTACTATCATACTCCTCACTGCTAGCAAAACAAAGCCTTCCACGTGCGCTCTGAAACCAACAGCAGGAAGAGTTTTCAGTGCTGTGTTCCTGCATTTTAGCCACATTCTCAGACTTGATTTCCAATTTTAGTCTGTAAAGTCCTAAGGACTCTACCTCCCCCGACCTCTCACTCCATGTGGCTGTGAAGAGCATAGGCAGTTTCTGTCAGGCGTGAAGTGGGGTTTTCACCTTAAAGACTTTGCACGCTGCTCACATCTCTTCAGAGCAGCCTTTCTTCTCAGGGGCTAACAGGCTTTCCAGAATGTCTCCACAGTGTGCTCTGGAGTCCTACTCCCTGACACCTGCCTCTCCTTTGGGTACTTCCATCTACGGGCCCAAGGTTGACATTCCACTAATGACAGACACAATATGGAGTGGCTTCTCTCACTTAGCCCGAGGTCCAGAGTCAGGGAACGGCACCAGGCTGCTTCGGCTCCATTTCTTTTGGCCATCCTTTGCATTCCCCCATAGGACTGGGCTGGGGCTGCTCGCTCCTCTCCAGTCCTAGCAGACCACGTGTCCCTCACAGCCTCGTTAACCACAAACCAGCATGGGATATAGGGCCCCGTAGAGTTCCTGCCTGGCAGCTAGTGCCCAGGTTCCAGGCAGACAAAGGATCTTTCAGACTGCCTTGCTCACCGCACCACATGTCAGCTACCCCGGGATTTGCATGGTCCCTCTAGATCATAGGCAGGTTGCTCTTCTGTCAGGGCCTCCCTCATGTTACTCTCCTCTGGGCATTCCCCAGTGCAGTTGCTACCTCAAGTCAGGATATTTTGTTCATCCCAAAGCTGCTATGCTATAAATTGCAAGTTGCTAATGAAAGTTAAGCTCTGGAGAGTAGGACCCACATTGACCTCAATGATGAAGGTCATGGGCAGGAGGACCACAGTACACACTTACTCAATAGACATTTAGAGCCAGGCGTGAGCCAAACTCTGCAGTGATTCAAATCTGTTAACCCTTACCACAAACATGGAGGCCAAGAGCCCAGATAACCTGTGTATTACAAGTCAAGGCACTAGAGATAGAGAACTAAAGGGGTTGGGAAACCAAGCACACCTGGGGAATAAAAACCGACACTGAGTCCAAATCCAGGCTTGCAGAAATGGCCACTCACTGCTCCCGCATTCTGGAAGATGAGAGTGAGATGAACGGACAGGACTTCTCTCAAAGCACCACTGTAGCTCCAGTCACACCAGGATGGGCAAACTTAGGTGGAAAGTTGTGTGTGATTTTGAGTCTGGTGGTTGTGGTTTACATAGCTCCAACAGCCAGAATCCCAAGGAAGATGCTGATATTTTATTAATGTAGGTTGGAAAACAGGTCCATTTTCTCTCTCGCTTTCTCTTTCCCCTCCCCCTTCACACGTGCAAAAATATTTTGCTTATTTTAAAAGCCAGTTCTCTGTGAGTTCAAGGTCAGCCTGGCCTACAGAGTAAGTTCCAGGACAGTCAAAGCTACACAGAGAAACCCTATTTTAAAAAACAAACATGAACAAACAACCCACAAACAAACAAACAAACAAAAGACTATGCAAGTTCACACTATGCAGCCTTGGCCAGTTTGGAACTTAATATATAGAGAAAGCTGGCCTGGTACTCACAGACTCCCACATGCCCCTGCTTCCCCAGGGCTAAAATCAAAGGTGTCAGCCTCTATGAGAAGAGGGACTCTCCACTAAGAAAATGCTCTGGGTTGGGCAGTGGTGGCGCGCGCCTTTAATCTCCATCACTCGGGAGGCAGAAATAGGCAGATCTCTGTGAGTTTGAGGTCAGCCTGCTCTACAGAGTGAGTTACAGGATAGCTAGGGCTGTTACACAGAGAAACCCTGTCTTGAAAAAACCAAAAAAAAAAAAAAACCTAAATTAAAAAAAAAAGGAAAGAAAAGAAAATGCTTCTGGGGGCTGGAGAGACGGCACAATGGTTAAGAGTACTGGCTGTGCTTCTGGAGGTCCTGAGTTCAATTCCCAGTAACCACATAACCACATGAACACTGCATACATAATAAATAAATAGATACATCTATTTCCTTTTTTCTTTTTTTGTCTTTTTTTCTAAATAGATAAATCTAGAAGAAGAAGAAGAAGAAGAAGAAGAGGAAGAGGAAGAGGAAGAGGAAGAGGAAGAGGAAGAGGAAGAGGAAGAAGAGGAAGAGGAAGAGGAAGAGGAAGAGGAAGAAGAAGAAGAAGAAGAAGAAGAAGAAGAAGAAGAAGAAGAAGAAGAAGAAGAAGAAGAAGAAAAGGCTTCCAGTTGGGTGGTGGTGGCACACGCTTTTAATCTCAGCACTCGGGAGGCAGAGGCAGAAGGATCTCTGAGTTCGAGACCAGTCTGGTCTACAGAGTGAGTTCAGTTCTAGGAAAGCCAAGAATACACAGAGAAACCCTGTCTTGAAAGCCAAAAGAAAATGCTTCTGTAAGATCAAGCATCAAGCAAATCTGTAGGGCATTTTATTAATTAGTATTTGATGGGGGAGGGCCCAGTCCATGGTGGTCCTGGAGTCTATAAGAAAGCAGGCAGAGCAAGCCATGGAGAGCATGCAGTAAGCAGCACCTCTCCATAGCATCAGCTCCTGTCTCTAGGCTCCTGTCCTGCTCGAGTTCCTGCACTGACTCCCTTTAGTGAAAAACCGTGATGTCAAAGTATAAGCCAAATAAACCCTTTCCCCCAACTTGTTTTTGGTCATGGTGTTTTATTGGAGCAACAGAAGTCAGCATGTCTTTGATCCAGAGAAGGATACAATGAGTCCACAAGGAACACAAAGGCACTGTGACTTCTATTTTTAAAAACCCAGCAGTTCCTGGGCATGGTCGGTCGGTCGGTCGGTCGGTCGGTCGGTCTCTCTCTCTCTGTCTCACACACACACTCACACACACACACACACACACACACACACACACCCTGTTACCGCAGTGCTCAGGAGACTGGAGTTAAGGGGATTTCCAGTTCAAGGTCAGCCTAGGCTACATAAAGTGACCCTGGCTCATTAAAACAAAACTCAGTACCTGCCAACCAACATCAAACGGTTCAAATGCTAGAACAATGTAGATAGATGAGCATGTTTGTCTGTGTGTATGTGTGTGTGTGTGCACGCATGCGTGCATGAGCACCTGTTCCCATCAGAACCTACCTGTGTGAGGACATCCAGTTGGCCCACGATGTGCTCCAGTGTGCTGGTCAGTGTCTGGGGCATACTGACAGGTTCCTGGGGCTGGCGTTGCACTGACTCCAGACTCTTGTCTCTGCCTGGTGGGCCAGGCAAATCCATTTCTGGCTAAAGACAGAAAGAGAACAATCCCTCAGACTAGTTAATACTTTAAAAACAAAAGTAGAGAGGGTCATCTTCAAAGGTAGATTATCTGAAGCCAGATGGTGGTGGTGCACGCCTTTAATCCTAGCACTCAGGAAGCAGAGGCAGGCGGATCTCTGTGAGTTCGAGGCCAGCCTGTTCTATAAGAGCTAGTTTCAGGACAGGTTTCAAAGCTACAGCGAAACACTGTATTGAAAAACCAAACAAACAAACAAACAAAATAAAGATCGATTATCTGAAAAACCAGGAAACCCAAGGAAATGGCTTCTCAGTGTCAACAGAGAAAAAGGACACATACCCTTCCAACACATTGAGATTCACACGTCCATCTTTCACAGCAGGGACTGAGAAGTAGAGTTTAGTGCCTGGCAGTCCAGACAAGATGGGGTCTGGGTGGATCCCTGAGTGCCCTCAGAGCACTCCCAGAGGTCCTCAGGGCGATGGGTTCATATCTCAACTCTTCACTCTCAGGCACCATTCAGGATGCATCTTGGAGGAGCTAGAGACATGAAAACTGCATGGCCCTGAAGTCTCCCCTTCTCCCAGACTACTGTTTAACCTCAATTCCACCCTCCCAACACTGGCTGCCCCAGGTTTCACTAACGCCTTCCTAGGGGCCCAATAGCTGTGACACAGAAATAAGAGGGGATGTTCCAGATCCTGCCCTGCCCCAGATTCCCTGGAAAAACAAAGATCCCTGTGTGGCTGTTCTGCTCAGATAGCTGGCAAGAGCCAGAAGCCTCAGGACAGGCACAGCCGGCTTGTTTCAGACAGGACTGCAGGAATGGGAGGCATTTGGGTTTTTAGTGGCTTGAAGGGTCACTGAGCCCTTCTCAATACTCAGATGCAGGCTTCTCCTGCCCCAGGAAGCAGCCTTCATGTGCTGAGCAGGAAGATTCCCTGAGCATGGGTGCCTGGAGGCAGACCAGCAGTGCCTGCAGCTCCACTGTGGGCTAGTGACAGCCCATGCTCTGGGACACCCCCAAGTTTTGTTGACCCACAAATGTCTCATGGACATTCCAGATGTGCCCCTCTGGGCTCTGTCGGTCTAATCTATCTCCTTCTGTGCCCTTTCCTGCCTCTGTGCTCTGGCTCTTGCACCACATTTTCCTCTCCATGGGTTGCTTTCACCTACACGTCTTTCTCTGCTGAAAGTGCACTGCCCTTAGGAACTCCTCTTCCTGCATACCCAGACCTCCTTCTTCCAGCCCTGTTCCTCGAGCCACTTCATCTTCAGAACAAGGGATAGAACACAGGCAGACGAATCAATGTTGGCTTCTCCATGGGCCTGTTCATGGGTCTCTCTCTCCCGCTTGACTGTACTCACTCTTCCCCACAAACCCAGGACGTCACTAGGCTCAAGGCTTGTGAACCACCCATGTACCAGAGTCAAGACTTCTCCTCCCAGAAGCCACCCACCTCCCAGAGTCACAGGTAGTAGATTATGCTGGGTACATCTGGGACTCATCTAGGATATCACCCAGCCCTGACAGTACCAGGATGCCTGTGGACCCACAATCAGCAGCTGGCTGCTTACATCTTCCCTCCAATGTCTTCCCTCTTAGACTAATCCACAGCAACACGGTCCTGGAAGACGATCTGGCCTGGACATGTTCACCTGGATCACATCACAGTATTTGAAAAGAAGGGACCCAAGTGAGGATTCCCAGGTGACAAAGGAGAAAGGCAAGGACAATTCAGCGTATGGAATCTACCCAAATATTTCTCTTTATTAGAAAAGAGTCCTGATCTCATAAACCACAAACTCTCAAGGACATATTGATGTGAACTTGAAAACTGCCAGATCTGGTAGCCAAAGAACTCGAATGTGAAACAAGAGCCGGAGGGGTATTCTTGAGAAAATCAGTGCCGTGCCCACATGCCCATGGCTGGCACGTCTGCTGGGTGATGTGGCCATTTCCTAAGCTCTTGGCTATCGGGACCAGGGCTCTTCCAGTCCTTCCAGGGATCAAGTGCTTCAGATCTCAATGTCTACCCAGAAGCCCATTCCAAAAGGAAATACTTAAGAAGTCTACTAGCCTTGCCAAGAAAGCTTGTGTCAGCCACAGTGATCCCCAGGCTCAGGCAGTTCTATCACTGGTGAGGAAGGAGAAGCCAGACAGGCCTTGGCTCCACCACTGACCAGCAAGTGCCTCTATCTTCTAATCTGAAAAATGGAGCCAATGACTGAACTCATCTGAAGTCACCAGCAAGCCTTGAAAATTGTTGTCAGTCCTGTGCCCACTCCTTCCAGACAGACACACTCTTCCCCACGGTTCCACCAGAAAACACTACTGAGAAGGTTACAAGTTTCCTGTCCCACAGCAGGCATCCTCACGAGGACAGTCAGAGTGGCACTGCCTGCTGCCTGGGAAAGAGGGAATGGAAATTCTGAGTGTTGTTGAAGAACAGCCCAGAAGCTGCCAGTGCTGAACTGGGCTTCTGGAAACAGTGGATGATGAGGTGGGGGAGGGGTGTGAGCACCAACTTTAGCAATCTCCCTCTGAGCCAGAGCTGAGCAGATCCAAGGGAGCAGCAAGGACTGGAGTCATAGTATTCCAAGCTGGAGAAGCGGCTTTAGGAGAAAAATGTGTTCTCATGGATACCATGCGTTCACATGGGCTGTCCTCATGTTACAACAAGGGAAATTGAGGAAAGAAATGCAATCCCAGCACCCAGAGGCTGTGAACTCCACAGTAGCCTGGGCTACATGTGGGGATTGGAGTAGCGGGAAGATGGCTTAGTGAGGACAAGCACTTGCTAAGTTCGATCCCAAACCCATGGCAAAGAACTGACTGACCAGAAGCTGTCCTCTAACCTCCATACATGCGGGTGGGCATTGTATACACAGGCTAGTGTATGCATACACACTCAATAATAATAAAATTTTAAATAAAAAATAAAGATATAGTAAGAAAACAAAAGAAAAAAATTTAAAAAGAATCTGGAGTTTCTGGAAGCTGAAACAGGAGGATCACAAGTGTGGAGGCTAGCCTGAGCTACACAGTGAACTTAAGGTCACAGTCCAGGCCATCCTGTCTCAAAAGAACAAAACCAGAGCACCACAGCACTGAAGGCTGACTGGGCGGTCACTGTGTTTACCTGCTATCATTGCAGGCCCTGATTTAATGTCCCCTCACTAAATCATTGAGGGTCCTTCACAGTAGGAACTCTTTTATTATTTTTCAGTTAGAGAACACTCAGGCTAAGAGATCTCTCAGGAAAAATCACCCTGGCAGGTTACAGTGCCTTTCTCAAAATCACCAGGCTGAGATTTAATCTCAGAGCATAAACTTCCTGGGTATCAGGTAGCCTGTGACAGGTGACAGGCCATACTGGCTGCAGCTGGACTTCTCTGTGCATTTTCTCTCTGTGGAGGTCACTAGGTCATCTGAGCCTGTTTCTCCATCACTGCTCCCCTGCTTGTCCTGGAATGCCTGGAAGCAGAGAACAGAGGCCCTCCACAAATACTTGATGTCTCAAAAGGCCCACCCCACAGGTGCAGTGGAATCCCTGTGACAGAACCTCTTCAGTGTCGGCACTGCAACAAAGGGCCACGGCCCTGCACTCCAGCACTCGAGAGCTGCGGCATTTCCTGTGAAGCCTGGTGGTGAACAGGGACAGAAGCAGACATGGGAAAGCTAAGTGCCAGGGCGAGCACTCAAAGGAGCAGGGCCTTGAGTAATGCAAGGGCAGAATGACCACAGCAGTGCTGAAGTGGAAAGATCACACCTGTTTACATCAAAGCATCCTAGGGGCTTTGGCGGGTCTTAGGTGTGATGTTTATTCTTGATGTCATCAGAGCATATACCTTTGGCCATGACTGTGAGGTGTTTTCAAAAGTTTAACAGAGGAGTGACCCACCCTGAACGTGGCAGCAGCATCGCACAGGTTGGGGTCCCAGACTGAACAAAAAGGAGAACTGAGTGGAACAGCAGCATCTGTCTCTTTCCCCTTCCTGACTTGCAGACATAGTATGAGCAGCCATCTCATGCTCTGCCACCTTGCCTGCCCAGCATGATGGACTGTATCCTCTCAAACTGTGAGCCAAAATAAAGCCTCCTTCCTTAATTTGCTTCTCTTAGGTACTTGTCCACAGCAGGAGAAAAGAAACTAATACATCCAGTGTATGATAAGCAAATTCCCAATGAAGACCAGCCCATGAGTACAGTTCCACTAGCATGTATACACATATCCACATGCACATGTATCTACACGTTTACATATTATTCACACATATATGCAAAAAAACCCAAACAAACCCACCTCACAACAGTTGGGCATGATGGCACGTGCCTTTAATTTTGGCAGAGGCAGACAGACCTCTATGAGTTCAAGGCCAGCCTGGTCTACACAGCAAATTCCAGGCCAGTCAAGGCTATACAGTGAGACCTTGTCTCAAAAACTAAACCCCACAACAAGCAAGTCATTTAGTAGTTGCACAAAGGAAACTTTTTGAAATGAATGAAATATTCTGTACCTTGATTGTGCGTAGGGTGGTGGTGTTACCTAACTGTATCTGTTCACCAAAGCTCAGAACTGATCATTTTTTTCAATGTGAATATTACTATTTGTAATAACAAAGTTCTATCAATCCCTCAAAGATACTATTAGATCTACAATGCTCCTAGGAGCCCTCTTGTCCAGCACACAACACACCTGACATTCTTAACATCACTGCCACTCTGCACTCAAGGTGAAAAGCACCCCCCCACACACACAGAGCATTGCCAAGGGGCTAAGTCAACGCTGACAACTCTAGAGGCCCAGGAGACTTGCCATCAAAATGGGAGTTAATTTCCACACGTGCAAAGCAGAGAACGTCATTTCAGTGCAGTCTCCCCAATGGAAGGGAGGAAAAAGCTGACCCCATAGGCAGGGCTTCCCAAGCAGCCCTTAGTCACACGGGGATCCATGCTGAGTCAAGCAAGGACTGCACACAGTGGGCAAGAAGCCAGAACCGG